CACGTTTGCAGAAGTCAAACCCTGACTTAGCCATGAAGTTTACTGGGAAGTATGACCCAGTCACATTGACACACTCACAGCACACAAATGACATATTCCTGCATTTGCATGACTATTACATGAGAACGCACCCAAAAAACTACCATCTAGATCTTATCTATCTCCCTAGACTGAAACATAAAAATCATGGGAAGCAAAAATCTGAGACTTTTATTATTCAGACCATAGAGACAGATGTGTTCTGTGATTTGATGGCAGTTAGGGGCTGATCCTGTGTTTAAAAAAAGAAAGTTATGCACATTCAATCTAGTCAATCAGAGTAGCACAGACCACTGCTGAAGAATGACTTAAATATAGCCAGGAAGAGGATAATAATAATAATAATAATAATAATAATAATAATAATTTTTATTTATATCCCGCCCTCCCCAGCCAAAGCCGGGCTCAGGGCGGCTAACAACAATCAAATAAACAATCAAATAATAACACATTCTAAAAATATTTCATTATAAAAATTAGTTAAAATCAAATTGATGGCAACCGATTAAACAAAATTCTGTGCAGGTTGCCAGAGGAGGGAGTCAGGCTGCGCCCTGACCAAAAGCCTGGCGGAACAACTCTGTCTTGCAGGCCCTGCGGAAAGATGTCAGGTCCCGCAGGGCCCTAGTCTCTTGTGACAGAGCATTCCACCAGTTTGGAGCCGCAGCCGAGAAGGCCCTGGCTCTAGTTGAGGCCAGCCTAACCTCTCTGAGGCCTGGGACCTTGAGGATGTTATTATTTGCAGACCGTAGGTTTCTCTGTGGGGCATACCAGGAGGAAATACCATAAAGGAAATTCGGGGGTGGGGTAAAAACAATAGCAGCTATTGCAGGTACCGAGTGGATCATGGATTCATTATTTTTTCCTTCTGTAATAAGAGCATAAGAAAAATGATATTGGGTCTGGCCAAAGGCCTATCTAGTCCTGTTCTCACAATGGCCAACCAGATGCTTATGGGAAGACTGAAAACAAGATTTGAGTACAATAGTGATCTCCTCACTTATGATTTCCAGCAATTGTTATTCAGAGGTACACTTTCTCTAACATATTAATAGCCATGAATTTGTCTAATACAATTTAATAGCCATGTAATCATCAGCAACCATCATCACGTCTTCAGCTTCTGGTTTATTGAACATCACCACCATGAGTCCTAAATATTGATGCAGTTGAAAAGACATGAATCACTTTTGCTATTGAGAGAGACACCCTGCAGCTTTGTGTTGTTATCTGCTGCACACTTGCAATAGTTCCTCAATCATTTTCTCTCCCCCTCTCCAAATAATAAGTTAATTAGTTGGGCTGGAATTAATCATTGCTCTAATATGATTTTTCCATCAGTACATGCATTTCTGCTTGCCTGGTGGAATGATCTCCCCTCTCTTCCCCCTGTGCTTCCTTCTGGAGGTTCTCTTGACCCCCAGAGCCGGTGTGGAGGAGGGAACCTCTATTGCTCTAACTCCTACTGGTGCAACTATTGAATGGAATCGAATCTGGCCCTAAATAAAACAAACCATCTTTCAAGTTGATTAGCCCAGCCTAGATTAATGAGTGGCAGATTGTTTTACTCCTCATAACTTTTTATCATGCTGAAGTGTTGAGGCTGCTGTTGCCACAAAACAATGTGGGTGGGCAAACGAAGACTCATCCTCCCTGCTCCATCCTCCCCACTCTGTGCCGAAGAGGCCTGGTGAGCCCAGTTCTGCTGCTGCCTACAAGCAAAAGTAAGTGGGTGGACAGGCTAGGAAGAGGAAGCCCAGACAAATGGAGAATGTCTTCCATTTTCCATCCACTGCCACTTCCTCACAGAATACCCTCCCCCCCCTTATCTGATTAAGATCCAAAATAGAAGGTAGGACATCCAGTCAGAAGTCAATGGCAGAAGCAAGCGTGCTTGCATTAAAAGAGGTGAGCAAGTCCAAACAAAGTAATGAGGGACTGCTTGCAGTGGAAGGGAGAAAAGAAGTCCCTTCTCTCTTGTTTGAAATTAAGGGACTTTCCATGGGTGCCAGAGGGGAGTCTATGGACACACTTGTGCCTGTGGTTGCCACAATGGCACTCCCTCTCCAGCCAATTAGACCTCCTCCCAAGCATCTTACCCTCCATTTTGACTTGCCTTTTTACACAGCACTCAGAACCTATTAAGCAGTTGGAAAGCTGTGATTCTAGCCATACACACTGGAAAATGCTTATAACGCAAATTAATGGAATCTATTATTATAATGGAATCTATTATCTATTATTTTGTTCAGTATTGGGGTGCAAATGAAGGTTTTTTTAGTATAAATATTACAAACTCTATGAATAGGTGCAGGACATCTAATATCTGGAGAAAGTTGTATACAGGTTGCAGTTGGGAGGCTTCTTATGCTAAGCTCTCTGGAGATTGAACGATGCTTTTTCTCTGAAAATGTTACAGCGTTTGGATATGGATGTTCTCAGAAGTGCCTACTATGGGCTTTGTTTAGTCTGGAGAGCATATACCACAGCAGAAAACCATTAAGGGAGTCTCCAGTTTTATTGGGCTTTCCACTGACACTTCTGGTCATAACTGAGAAATTTGCAAATAACAGTGACAGAAGGCTGATGGCTACCTTAGACTGAAGTCATAACTTGGAATGGAATTTTCTCGGCTCCTGAGACATTGTCTCCTTGTACTGAAGTTTAATACAGGCACATTTCCTCCCTTTTCTGTGCTTAATGCTACTTAATCTCTGTGTTCAGTCAAACTAATCACATTAAATCCCCAGATGAAAGATGCAATTATAGCTGGACATGTTCAAAATATGTTGTGTTATGGTAAATGGAAATTCAGTGCACCACAAAATTCCATGCTGCTGTTCTAAAGTGTTGTGAACTGCTTACCAACATTTCATCACACCCAGTTTATTCCTTGTTCCTAGCTTTTCCATAATTATTTTGTGATTTCAAACCAGGCCTGCAAAGAGTTTGCCCGAGGCTTGAGTCGGGAGTCTTGTGTATGACAGCGTAAGACTAGCAAGCCCCTAGCAGTACTCCCACCCCACCCTGGCCAGCTTAGCCTTCTAAGGCCTGGGGCTACCCCCCCCCCCCGGCTTGGGCCTGTGTCAAACTGTTCCTGAAAAGACTAGGAAACTTGACAAGGAAAAGACAGCAATTCTATGAATATTTACCTGAGAGCTAGTCCCATTGAATACAGTGGGACTTCCTTCCGAGTAAATATTCACATGGTGCAAGCAGGTATTGACTGATTAATAGAACAGATAGCACTGCGTTACACAAACCAGGTCATTTTTTTTTACAATCTGTTTTGTCAATCTTGTGTTAGGAGTAAGATTCATACACATAATCTCAGTAATAGTGTTCATGCCCATATTACAGAAAGAGGGCTGAGCCTGAGGGTAATGGCTTGCTTAAGGGCTCAGTGAATTCAAGACTCAGGTGAGATTTAAATTTCCTGGGTATTAAGCCATTATTTTGAACAGCAACTTCTACTCAACATCTAAAGACATGGTTATACTCACTTGAAGAGTGATCATGCCCTGTAGTTTACATCACTTGTGGTATACCACGCTTTGTTTGTGAGAGTGATGAACATAACTGGAGACAAGGCCAGGATCAGTAGGACTGATAAAAATAGCACAAAATATACTCAGAGGGGAATCTGCCTGTTTATTTCTAGAGCTTGGACTTTTGCCTAGTGGTGAGAGTATCTAGACAATAAAACTGCTAGGTTTGTTCAGCATATTTCCATATTAGTTCCAGAGAAAGAGAGAGAAAATTAGGCAAAGTGTTCAACTCTTTTTGTGGAATACAGAGGGGTCTTGGATTCGTGGCTTATTTTGACACTGATCAATTTTAATTAGAATGGAGGGGAAAGATAGCTATTGCCTGTAAGAAAAGACTATAAAAATCTACACACATATCAGAAAATGTTGCTTTGCATATAGCTGAAATGTTTAGCTGCTCTTCTAAGAAAGAGATGTTCTTAGAATCCCAGACTTGGAAGTCTGTACCTGTAATTTGACTTTCCATTGCAGAGACTTGAAATGTTGCATTTAGTTATTTAAAATATTTATATCCTGCCTTTTGTGGCTAACAGGTTTGCTTATTTCTTTTTACTTTTACATAAGTATCAGTTAATAGAAATAAATTAAAATAACAACCTAAAATTCTAAATTCAAATAAACAATTCTAAATTATAAAAGGAGATACCTATCCGTAAAATAGTAGTGCCAGTAAAAACAGCACAATAGACACTCAAATCTTAGGAGAAATTCTCTTAGCATGGCACCTCAAGATCAACAAAGCAAGCACCAAGCATGTATCTGTGGGGGGAGCATTCCAACAAGTAGTACACCACTACATTTCGGCCAATCTAGCAGTTTGAAAGCACACCAGTGCAAGTAGATAAATAGGTACCGCTGCGACGGGAAGGTAAATGGCATTTCCATGCGCTCTGGTTTCCATCACAGTATTCTGTTGTGCCAGAAGTGATTTAGTTATGCTGGCCACATGACCCGGAAAGCTGTCTCTGAACAAATGCTGGCTCCCTCAGCCTGAAATGAGATGAGCACCGCACCCCAAAGTCACCTTTGACTGTACTTAACCGTCCAGGGGTCCTTTACTTTTTCCTTTACCTTACACCACTACAAAAGGCCCATTATTTGGTCGCTCCCCCTTTAACCTCTGAATGCAAAGGTACCTGAAATACCTAGTTGGTGTTCTTTGTCTTGGGAGACAGTGGGAGAGTGTGCCTTTGGAGGTTAAGTCTAACTGTTGGAAGGTTACAGCACCTGCTGTGGCTGTAGAGACTGATACCGGACGGGCATGTTTTGTTGCAGCTGGGGCAGATGAAGGTGTCTGGTGCTGGTACTGGTGCTGCTGCAGATGCACCATGGCGTCATTCCTCCTCTATGCTATGGATGTACAACCTGACTGTCTCTAGGCACTGCGGTTGTTTGTCAGCCTTCATGTCACATTTGCATGCATCTTTGTAATGCAAGGTTGGTCTGCCAATTGACCTGGTGCCTTAAGCCACATCCTCAGGACCTCTGAATATCATCTGGAAAAGTGGGCAGGTTCATATGGGAACAAAGGGTGGTATTCACCTAACCAGCCCTGTCAGTGGAAGCCTTTGCAATGACTTCTGCTTGCACTAAGGAGTTTCCTCCATCTCTGAACTCCATGCCTCCAGAATTGACTTGGGAGGGTTCTGGAAAACCTCCATAACAGAGTGTTTTGGGGGAGGCAAGGGGGAATTGTTGCATCTGGCAATGCTTGCATAGATGGAAGCATTAGTAGAGCATAATGTTGAATTCCACCTAGTCCTTTTTGCAGTGAATATGAATTCATTTCCTACTGTAACTATCCAAAACGTTGTGATTCTAACAATCTCATATCTACTTCAGTAATTATGACTTGATTTTGAAATCCAGTTTCTTGTTGTATATAATGGTTTTTCCTGTAACACAGGTGATGGAATATTTCACAGTGATGGAATATTAAGTAATGAAAGCTTTCTAGGATGAAGAATATCAGGTAAATGAGAAGAAATGCTTCTAGAGATCTCCAGAGGGGAAATGAAATATAAGAGTTTCTGTTTTTTATGAGTTGTAAAACTACAAGAGGAGAAATCCCAGGTAACACAAACAGATCATACAAATTGCTGGTGATAGCAAAGACAAAAGTCTAGAGGTTTGGGTCGTATTTGGGTTTGTGATAATGAAAAAAATAAATAGTACCAGGTGAATTATCTACTTACAGTGTACAAATGAATAACAGTGAATGATGTTGGGATATTGTTTTCACAATGTGGTGTACATGCCTTTGGAGAGCATGCAGTATAAAGTGCCGACAGCGTTGTTTTGTCCCTTAGTCTGAAGTGTAAGATAATGCCTTAGAACCTAGTGTAAGGCAAGAGTTGGCTTGAGTCATGGTTTGTTTTGTTGGCTCTGTACCCTGCTGTCCCCAAGAACTTTTTTGAATTTATCTGGGGAAAGGCCACATAGATTAATATGCTCTGATGAAGAGAGACATTCTAAGGAGAATAGCAGCTGGTTGAATGTTATATTTTCAGAACAATTGATTTGATTGAATTGATTTATTATACTTCTGTGCTGCTTTTCATTCAAATGACTCCTAAAGCAGCTTATAAACAATAAATAAGAATAGCCTGATAGAACATAATAGAATATCACAAATACAGCATAAATCATATAGAATAATTAACAAATCATCTGTGAAATCAATACAGTGTTATTAACAACATTAACAAAATAGCCAAAAAATAAACTAAGCACTGTTAAATTCATATGCACACTCCCCACACCCCCATGACTCATAATTGTTCACTGTTCAGCTCATTAAAATACACATCCACATAATGCCCGTGGCAGCAACTCCCTTCTGAAGGTTTTTCAGGCTGGAGGTGGGGCAGCACAGGTGAAACTAGCCACCCCCTAATGACAAACAGTCTCTCTTCCCTCACAGTTCTTACTCTGGAAGCAGCTCCCTTATGAGAGCTCCTAGGGCTGTAGGGTGGGGCAAGGCAGGTGGAAAAAGCCATTACCTGCTGGCCATTGGCCAACAGAAAGCAGTCCGTGGAAAAACCAATTTGTTCTGATACAGCGCTAAACTGGGTTTTCCTAGGGGAAGGTGGTAGGGCAAATGGAAGTGTGGATGAGCCCTCAGATGTGTTTATAGCTCCCTGACCAAAGGAGCTCTTCATTATCTCACTAATGCCTCTGATCCCAAACTTCTTCAGAAGATATGAAGGAAACATGTGGTGATCATCCCAGCAACACCTCAGTGACCTGGTAGCAGTTCATGTAATTTTTTAAAATTAAGACTGTTCATTATATTATTGCATTCTTATGGTTAGTGAATACTCAATGTGTACTCCATAAAGCAGAGCTGACCACTGCAGATTTGAGCAGAGGGGAAACATAATTTCACTCTTTTTCCTTTCTTGCATTCAGCTCTCCTAGCAGACTTGTGTTTACCCATTAATCTCCACCCAAAGACTTTTATTTCATTATGCTCACTGATCCTGTAATTTCATATGATGTAAGGCTGATATACATTTCAAAATAATTGTATTTGCAGGATGGGCTTAAGCTTTAAAGTAACACATTTTTTCCTTTGATATTTGCTTTCTCCTTCTAGTCTAGGTTCAGCAACAGTATTAAAAGTTTGGGAAAGCTTATAAGTAAAGAATAGCAGAAGCAGGATACTTCCCTGGTTAGAGAAGCTGGCTTGAGTTTTATTCATTGAGTTTTATTGTTCCAAAATCCCTGCCTGTGAAGATTTTTAATCTAGGAGAATTGGGAAAAGTTCTGACTGGTCCGACTGCTGTTGCATTCCAGCTTAAATGACTACATGTGTCTAATTTTGATTTCCTTCTAAATCATTAGGGACATCGCTCCTCTAAACCTCTACTTGATGCAGTTGAAATTGGATGCCTTGCCTGTCAACAGAAATGTAGTCCGTTAATAGTGTTGAATTTATTTGTTTTAATTAAATGACTATTAAAATCATGAAAGAGGCCTTGTGTTTGGGAGAGAGTGTTTCACATCCTATAAACACATTGCAAACTCTTCCCAGAAGTGGTAGAGAGCTGATATGTATGCAAGGCCATGAGAGACTTCAGAGCTGCCTTCTGCGCATGTGTGCTCTGAGCTTTGTCCCACTGCTTGCTGCACAAAAGCAACCTATTCTTTTCTGTTCTTACATTGCAGCCCAAGTACTTTGGACAGCGACCTTTATGTTTCTCTTAACCTTTGTTTGAAGGGTGTGTGTGTGTGTGTGTGTGTGAAATTTGTCCTTTAGATTTCAGGTGGGTTTAGGTTTAGGTTTAGTGCTGACAAATACCCTGAGAAGAGTACTGAAAGCTGGTGCAGCTGTTTTCTCTTGCAACGTAGTGTAGTTTAGTCTCCCTGGCCGCCCATTCAGCTTCTGTTCAAATGTTATGAAGAATTTTTTTCTGTTTCTTGGACAGAGGGTAGATAGATTCTTTTCTACATCCTTAAAGTGACCTAGCAATCTGGCACATCAGAACAGGTGCTGGCAGATTATTTGCTCTTGATTTATCAACAGACTATGTGTGGATTAGGCTACTATAGTGAAGTGCTAGACTATTTTTGTTTTTTATTTTATTTTATTATAATTGTCTGAAGCAGTCAAGGACTGAATATGTTCTAGTTGACAGAAAAGGTGTCTAACTTCTAGGAAACCTACAGGTCCTGGAGAAGAGTGGTAGAACTTTTCAGCCAACTTTTGTTTAGAAAGAATCTACATCTTCACAAGAGATGAAATACTGTTTGTAAAATTGGGCTCTTGCTCCCTCTGGGCTATTTTTGCTCCCCAGGGAAGCTTGGACTGTGATTGGAACTACACATTACCACATACCAGATCAAATAGTCTGATTTCCACACATTTCCAGGAAAGAAAAGCTTTTTTATGTGAGCACAAGGTTTAAGCACAGGATTCAGTGTACACTGGAATAAATCTGTAGCTCACTTCCGACGATCTGCTCTTGATTGTTCTCATGGATCTATGTGTTTGCAGCTATGAAATCCTTCATAACCTCCTTGGTAAAACATTGGTTTGATGAGATAGATTCGGGACTTATTAGTGAATACGCAAGGTATGGACTACTTATGTCCAGATCAGTCTGTAATTGTAATGTGTGTGTAATTGTAATGTGCCCTGGTGTGTGTTGTGTGTGTATTCATAGGTGTATGGAAAAGACCAGTAAAATGCTATCAATGCTGTATTCTTAATTCAGCTGTATGGTTCCTTTCCAAATAAGTCATTAACTTCTGTTAAGCTATTGCCTTCATGAAGCAAAGTTATTCCTTTTCTTGGTAACCTGCTTGCCCCACTGAATTGAATTAGCCAGTTTTTCCCATCAAAATTAATTGCTCTCGGTTTATTATAGAGATTGTTTGCCCTCTTCCAAGGACTGTTTGTTCCCAACAGTGTGTTTTAGGATCTGTTTGTATATGCTGGAAGCTTTTTCAGCTTATTTTTTTGAAGGTCACCTTGGGTTCAGAAAAGTTTAGAGTGGTAGCAGCTAAAATAGACTCAAGTAAATTCAATAAGATACAGAAAGTGGTTGATCTGTAGAATTCTTTCCTCTCTCTCTTCAGATTTCATTGCCAAAATATGTTTAAATTGACAAATGATGCAGCCAATCTCTTAGGAGATGCATTTTCAATCCCCCCTCATTCTGTTGCTTTCCTGATGCATGCTGCCATGTCAATGGTTTTACAGAGCTTAATGAGTGATATGAGTGGTGCTGTTAGCTTTCCAGCGCCCCTGTAAAAAAAAAAATGTAGCATATTTTATAGAGTTGGTCATTTGAAAGAGGTGACATCCTTCGTAGTGTTTTGTTTTGAAATCTTTAAGATAATATTTAATTTCCTATTCATAATGTTCCTTTGAATGTATACTTTATATTTGACTTTCTTCAGTAAAGTTTTATTCCAGATTGTTTTATTTTATGTTTTAATGTAGGTTGTAAACCACTTTGATATTTTTTCCTTAAAATTAGAAAGAAGTATAGAAATGAAAATAATAATAATAATTTTGCTCACTGCCCAAATCTGTATTCTCTGCTGACTAAAATAAATACAGTGGTACCTCGGGTTAAGAACTTAATTCGTTCTGGAAGTCCGTTCTTAACCTGAAACTGTTCGTAACCTGAGGTACCACTTTAGCTAATGGGGCCTCCCACTGCCAACGCACCACTGTCACACGATTTCTGTTCTCATCCTGAAGCAAAGTTCTTAACCCGAGGTGCTATTTCTGGGTTATCGTAGTCTGTAACCTGAAGCGTCTGTAACCTGAGGTACCACTGTAGTTGGTTCATAAGTATAGATAATTTGAGGCAATTAGTTCTGATGTAGTGTCTAGATACTTAACAATTGGAAGAAGTTTGTGGAGTAAAAGCATAAGCGGAGGACTCGTGGGGAGGAATTTAGTGTTGTGCTATCATGATCATTAGCTCAAGAATTTCTGCTTGACAGATGGAACGATCTCCTCTTTCCTTTTCCCACACACTGTTCAGGGAGTTCTCCTGACTCCCCAGAGCCAATTTGGGGGAGGGAAAGCCCCATTGTGCTAGTGGGACTCATTGTGCTGGCTCCCTCTAACACAACCATTTAGTTGAATCCAGTGCTTGATTTTTATTAAAAAATAATAGTTCATTTCCTGCATTTCTTGACCTTATCTCACCATGCTGCTACACCGTTTCTCTCACCACAATGTGGCACACATTAGGAAGGCTCATGAAACTCTGAGCCCCTTGTTTTCTTCCCCTACCTCGAGGTACTTGCTTCAGAGCATAGGCAGGATAACAGCTGAGTGTAGATGGAGGAGGAAAGCAAAGTAAAAACATGTTGGTGGAGTTAATCTAGTGTATTTACAAATGGTGTAGTGCAAACTGTCCAGATTCCCGTGAATCTACGTAAGTACTGTGTGTTTCATTCCATGATGACTCAGATCTTTCAGGGACAGGCCTGTTTTGATGCTTGGGGTAATTCCCAGTCCTTGAGAGTGCTCAGCTTGGGTTAATGGGATGCTGATCAATTTCACATACTAGTCTTCCAAGTTACACCAGGACCAGATAATAAATGCAGCACTGCAAATGAAGTCAAATTACATAGACAGTCACAGGACTCGATCAGACATATAAACAAGAGCCAGTTGGTGCCTCCCAAAAGTAAACTTCTTACAACTTCATATCTGAATGCCAAATTCTGAGGATGGGCAAGCTGAGGGGTTCTGTTACTCACATTTTTAAGCTTTCAGGTATTTGGCTGGCAGCTTTTGGAAACAGTACTGGACTGAATGGGGACAGTGACTTGACCAACACCAAGCCACGCCTTTGACATTCCTTTGCAGCTACAACACAGCATCCATTTTATAGAAGACAAAACAGTGAGGCTCAGAAGCAAATAAATTGCATAATACCACAGATTGAGCATAAGGCATAGGTAGAGTCTCTGTGACAAATGACAGAACTCTAAAATAATGTCCTTTTCTAAAAATTACCACTCCTAACTCAACATTTGCTGCAGTGCCATGATCTGAAGTGCACCACCCCATCCTCAACTTTCTTTGTAGAATCAAATGAAAAAACAAAAAAACTTAGAATAATGAATGGCTGTCAACTCTTATCAACAGCTATTTGTAATGATAGCTAACTTGAACTTCTGTGTTCCTGTATGTTTTACTGGATAGTCACATCAAAGTGGTATGGGCTGTAGCCAATATTATTATTAGTTGTACTCTATGTAGATCTGTTAAAATGAATGGACATGACTAACTTAGGCCCATTAATTCTAGTGGGTCTGTGTTGAGTAGAACTTAGATGGATACAAATCTGTATCAAAAATGAAGGACATAGCATCTTTGCCACAATATAAGATAAACTTTTATTTTGTAATCTTTCTTATTGTGTGTACACTATATATTTAAAGTATATTATTTCCCCCAAACAATCACAGTGCTAAGAATGCTGGGAATTGCACTACAGTTCCCAGAATTCTTTGGGGGAAGCCATGTGCTTTAGATGTATGGTACGTACACACCCTCTTTTTTATTCTTGTTTGTTAGATGTACAGTATGGATTCCCTCACCCTTCCTATGTTTCTGTGGCTTGAGCATGTAGCTGTGTCTACAACTTTGCTATGTTGCATTGTTTACTCTGGATGCGTAAACATTATACAGCAATGAGCTTGATAATTATCTCAGAACTATAGTTTGATGTCCTTCCATCTTAAACAATTCTGGAATGTACTGTACCTTGGAAATGCCAGAAATAGGCTTTGGCTTCACTAAGTCTCCATAATGCAATCAAACAGGCAATAAATAGCTAGTACTTGGCAAGGAAATCTAACCCTTATGCATTCTGCACTGTCTTGTACAGTTTTCAAAAGAATTCAGTAAGGAAAAAATCTGATTGGTCAGATTTGCTTTGCAGGGGATATTTTGGAACAGTCTTCATTTGGGACAGGTATTTTAGGACTGATTCTGTATAACTTTTTTCATTCATGGAGAAATACATGTGAAGAGTATTATGCTGGAATGCAAAATACTCATACTTCTTGCATTCGGATTTAACATTTTTCACATGTGTTCCTCTGTGTATTTCACCTTATGTACCTAAGATGTGCCTCAAGAGGGAAATAAACTGATGTTTTAAAATAAAAGCTATAACCATAGAAAAATGAACAATCATAGGAAATCTGAATGTTGGAAACAAGAAGTAACTGATGCAATAAAATATTAAAAGTAAATTATGCAACAGGACTGAGTAAACTGAAACCGTCTATACCTGTGTTAATTCACAATATTGTTTATTGATGAGGACTTTTCCATATACACAATTGAGGCTTGTGTACATGTTTATATAAATATTCTGTAAACCTATGTATACTGCAAAGATTCTATTTAGCTTGGCGGTTACTTTTTCATATAGATGCAAAGTGTCGTTTTTTTAAAAGAGAGCGAGAGAGAGCGCGAGCGCATGAGAAG